CATGGGTGGCCAGCTCTACCCACTCAGCTAACCGGGTGTCCAACTAAAGAGGTTTTTAACTTCACTATTAATTTGTGAATATATATTTATTATAGAAAAATTCTTAAGACCTGAAGCCTCGTTTTCAGGGGTTTTGAGGATCTTTACCTGAATGTCCCTCGCTCTCTCATAGGACTGGTAGGCGACTTTTTCCTCCATGCTGGCGAGTTCCTGTTTAAGGTTAGTCATCTCATTCTGGTGCAGCTCTGTTAAATCATTTAACTGTTCCTCAAGTCGCTCATACCTGAATACACAGTACAAAATACACACAAGAATCCTCAAAGTAATGCAGAACATCATGAAAAATTTAAACTTCAACTCTTAAAGGTCCAGTGTCTAGGATTTAGTGGCGTCTAGCAGTGAAGTTTCAGATTGCAACTAACTGAACACCGCTCGTGTGTGTATTTGACGACTTGGGAATGAGAACAGGAGTGTGTGTGTGTGTAGGAGAAACTATGGTGGCTGTGAATAAGGGTATGATTAACTATTAAAAACACATCACAAAAGGTTTGATGATATTACGATGATAATGGGAACTGTAGTTTATTTTGTATTTGTTTTTATACAAATTTACTATTAACTAGTAGGAAAAAAGGGACTTGAGCAATGAAATTGTGTGCTGTTAGTTTACACTTTTCATGTTCATACGTGTGTTTTATTTTGGATGTGTACCTGTATCTCTCTTCTTGCAGGCACTGTGTCATGTAGGAGTAGTCACTCTGCAGCTGGCCCTTCATGTCATCAATAGCATCCTCCATATGTGCCTGGCTGGCCTTAATCTCCTGCAGGCCCTCAAGTAGAGAGTCCCAAGAGCTGTGCATGTGATGGTGGTGGTGGTGGTGCCCGTCCAATCTGGGACTCCCCATGGTTGGTCCTAACAAGCCTCCTCCTCCCCCTGCCCCACCAGAATTACTGCCTGCTCCTGAGCCGGACGTGGCGCTGGAGCACTCGTCGTCGCTGCCGTACTTTGGGCTGGAGACCAGAGTGGCACTTCCACTCAGGGCACGAGGTGTGGGGGCGTCCTCAGAGTGTCCCCCGACTCCGTCTTCGAGTGTGTCCTTTAAGTGAGCAATGTTATCTGCACTGCCAAACTTGTTCCTGATTAGACTGGCAAACTCTCTTGGCTTGGAGACCACGGCTGTGTGGGTGAGGGCGGATACTCCACCTTTGACTCCTATGACTACTCCACCTCCAAAACCACTTATCCCAGCACGAACATTGGCCCCAACGTCCTTCAATCCCTGCTGCATGTCCCGCAGGACATCCTTAGGCTGCCTGGCTGGTCCATTCTGTAGAGAGGGAAGAGAAATGAGGAAGCAGAGAAGTGGAGGATCTCAAAGGTAGGAGAGAGGTGATTAGGTTCAAGGGAGAGAACTGTAGGAAGATAGATGAGGAAAGCAGGCCCTGTAGAGAATTAGGTAAGACACAGGATGATGCATTGGTTTAAATGAGTGTCAGGAGATGACAATCATCAGTCTTGATTTGGACACAGCTGTCCTCAGTCATGAGATAATTATTCAAAACAGCACAAACATATCTCCACATGAAGACATCACACGTTCCCATAGGAACTAACTGCACACACACTTGCTCACCTACCTGTTCTATCTCCTTTAACTTCTTGTGATAGTGCTCTAGTTTCTTGTGCAAGTGTGCGATGGTCTGGGCTGACTTCTGGTTCTTCTTCTCGAACACCTGCTTGATTCTGGACGCCTGCTGTTTGTCTGCGTTGTGTGCCAACTTCAGGTACTCTGCAACGTTGTCGTCCCGGGCCTCCTGCTCCACACGGATCTGTTCGGTGACCTTCAGAATCTTCTGCTGCAGGTGCTCCAGAGCAACACGGGTTCTCTGCGGCTCGCCGGCCCCCGAACACTCAGCACCCCCGGCCATGACCCCAGATGCTGCTGCAGCTCCGTCCGCACTGATGTTACTGTCAGAGCCTCCATGGCTGGTAGTGGAGGGTAGGCCTAGAGTTGCCACCTCGCTCTTATCCAGCTGAGGGGACGAGAAGGCAGGGGGAGGTAATCAGGGACAGAGAGACTACAACTACTACAGATAAAGTACTATTAACATGACTTTACTGAAGTAGAAGAAACGTTGCATGTATTGAAATCTACTCAAGTAGAAGTACAAAGGAAGATTATTCTGAGCAATTGGCCCAGTGTTGCATCCTGTACTTATTAGAGCAGCAAAGCGCTGCGAGGACCCTATTTAAACTGCTCAGGTTATTATTTTATTCCCCATTGAATCACATTTATGGCGGCTGCAACATGCTCGAAAACTCATGAAACGTGGCACAAAATTCAGCAGTGGCAAAAATGTACCTATTCTGTGGGTCTCGCATATGGGCGCCCTAAACTCAGCCCCCAAGACATGTTTCACTGATATGTATGAAAATCATAAAATCATATGTATAACCAGACAAACAAAAAAGCCTCTTGCACCCAAACCCAACCGGAAGTCAGTCGATTTGCACGTTTTGTATTTTAACATCATCCTCCTAGAGAATTTATTAGATCAGAGGGCCTTATCATCGCTGCTTGCAGCTTTAATTTGACCTTTATTTTTGAAACGGTTCATCACAAACTTAAATGTTATAACAGACAAACAATTGTCTGTGTAATCCAGAGAGTCTTTTAGTCAGGCACTGCAAGTCCCCTGAACATGCAAAAATGTGACATATGTCTACAGACAAATAGATAATTAAACATATATGAGTATTTGGAAGTTTCCAATGATATATGAACATTTACTTGAGTTTAAATTAAGCAGTTTTTAAGCAGGAAATGCTAAAAAAAAAAAAAAAGACTAAAATAACATTCTCAGAACTTTGTCCCTATTTTCTCTTTAATGATTAGAAAATGACATTGTTTGCTGTAAGGAACTTCTTGGAAATTATTAGGGAATTAAGGACTCAATACAGTAGGCTATATAAATAAACTTGCAGTTAGTTACTTTCCACCCCTGGTGGTAATGCCTCTAATTGATTTGATGGAGGCATCAGGGAGTACACAGAAAGGCCATCATGCATTAATTAGATGATAGATAATTACACTGCTTCCTGCCCTGCACAGCCTCAGAAACTCATCTTCACTACAAACAAGTTACTTTGAAACGCCTTTCTTTTAAAGACGCATACGAGAAATAAAAGGGTAAAAGCACACCGCATGGTACATTTAAAAACTTTGATGGTGTGTAGCAAAGGACAATAATGATGATGATGATGATGAAGATGAAATGTTGGTGACCGTCCATGTATGTATATCTGTCTGTATGTGTTCTGGATCATTCTGCCTGATTCTGGCACCAAACCTAAATGTCTGCCTGCCTTTTCAGCCCGAGGTTGCAATCTCTTCAAACAATGAGCCCTGTGCTGACACCTCGCTGATACACGAGGGGATCCCCTGCTCGGTATTATATCTATGTATATGTGTAGCATGGCAGATGGAGGGATTGTTAATGACCCGCTGCCCGACGTCAAAACAGTGTAATCAGACCCTGCAAACACGAGCTCAGGCAGACACACGACACCAAACATCTCATAGCGCTGCTCCAATTTCTCCAGGCGGGACAGTGCAAAGATTTATATGGATTTTTATTTGTGTAACAGAGAGAAATCAGCACAAGCTCCTTTCTGCTATAAGTATATAGGCTACACACAGAATATTATATTATTCATATTATTATTATTATTATTATTTCACAAAGTAGGTTACAATCACATTGTAATTGAGAGGAAAAACAGATGACTGCAGTCCCCTGGTGGTTACTCATTCCCTGATTTTGTCAGGCAAAGTGAGATGCTTATGCAGTAAGCTAAGCGATGGCTCTTATGAGGAGGCGATGCAGTGTCCAGCGGTACATATGGGTGAAAACAGACAACAACAACAACAAAAAACACACAACACAGAGGAGATGCTCAAATCTAACGGTGACGGTCCGGTGATGGATCAAAAAGGCTGGTGGAGGTCGGAAGAGAAGCAGGGCTGTGGATGAGGATGGAGATGACAGATGTCTATGGCACACACAAAAAAAAAAAAACCAAGAGGACAGGGGGGGTGATGCCTCTGCCTCCCTCACTCGGCAGGAGACGCACTGTGACACGAGAGACGGCCGATGGATGTCAACAAGCGTGGATGCGAACACATGAGGATGAGACACAAGCAGCACAGCAATAAATTAAATTAGAAACGTTACCATACTGCTTTAATCCAATTTTTGCAGTGCCATTGCAAGTCTGTGTTCGAGGCCCATCCTCCTCCACCTCCTGCCTCCTCCTCCTCCTCCTCCCCCTGTACTCACCGAGGAGGAGCCCCCCTCCTCAAATATCTTTACCCTCAGCCGTTGCCTGGCTGACTATCCCCTCACTGGATCCTAATGCTCCATTGTTAATGCCATCGATATCTGCAGCCTCCCACTCCCTCTCTCCCTCTCTCTAATGCTCTGATCTCTCTCTCTCTCTCTCTCTCTCCCTCCTTTGTGGTATATGCTCCCTCCGCCTCCCTGTTGTCGCTCTACCTCTGTGTCCCGCTCTCCTTCAGTCTAAATGCAAAATGCTAGCTGTCCTGCCCTATAATGGAAGTGGCGAGCCTGAGGACAGATGATGGGGGAATGGGCGGGGGGGACTGGGACGAGCTTAGCGCCAGGCGTCGAGGTGCTCTGTACCGTTGAGGCCAGAGGAGAGGCACAGGGAGGGAGGGAGGAGGGAACACAGCGGGGCCTGTGGCAGGGCCTACTCCAGGCCTTTTCATTCCCCATATACACACATAACCAGTGTGCCTGATGTGGGCGTGCAGTGATGGGGTGGCCAAAAGTACACCAGTGTCTGTCTGGCCCTGATTCCAATCTCATTAACTTTATCCTCATTTTCCTCCTTGTCCAAGAGAGACAAAAGTGTGGTGTCTGAGCTACTCTTAGGGGCACTTTCTTAATCTCTGTGCTGAAATGTGTGTCAAGTGTCGTCTGTGGAGGTACCCGCTAAACATAGCATGCTGAACGAAGCTGTCATCTCATCTTAGGAAACACACCTGAATAAGTCAGAGAGGAATAGGATGTGGCATACACAAAAAAATTCAATGGAAGAAGTATCAGAGGATCTGTTTACTGAGGTAGGTAAACGGAGCAAGTACACCAGTATACAAATACACATTTGGTTGATAGTAAAAGTAACAAGTATTATGTTTTAGCAACGAAAGTGTTATTCTGAATGTTAGAGCTGGAGCTTAATTTAAGCCCTACGTTATGTATATTGGGTATTTAAAGCTGATATGTACAGCAAGTTCAGTTTCAACATTTAAAGGTTACTAAAATTGTCACATAAGTGAAGAATAATAGTTCTAGCATTATTTTAGAAGATGTCTGTGTCCTGTGTTTACAGAGATACTCCACCTGACTTACATGCTAACCAGCTAGCTTTGGCCCATCCTGTCTCCTAATACCACTTTGTACCTCATGAGGCAATAGTTAGTCACTGTAGTATCCAGTCTTCCCCCAGTCCAACAATGAGGGGGGGGGTTTCTTGCCAGGTTTATCTCCTGGCACCCAGGGCGGACCCCGCCATAACCCCTACTCAGGCCTCCAGATGTGGGCATTGACTGATGGTCAGGAAGGGCACTACGCTTTGCAGCCAATTTGACATAGTGGCCGACCCGTGTAATGACAACAATGGTGTCCATCACGTGATGCACACTGTCCTAAGAAGACTTTTCCCCGTACGATTATATTGTGAAAGAAGCAGTTGTTAAACAGTGAATACATTTTTAATAAGACCGCTAGCTGCACAGCTAACTGAGCTAACTAGCTAACGCCAGATACAGGTGACCAGTTTGTACATATTGCACCTTTAAACATAACAAAGTGTACATTTTATAAATATACCCAAGTAAAAAGGACAGTTTTCCTAAAGTAGATGTATAAAGTACAAGTACCTCACAGTTGTATTTCAGTATTGTACTTAATTATATTCCACCACTGCTCAAGGGGAATAAAAAACAATCAATACTCCATAAATACACCAATGTAATGGTGTATTTCTCTTGATATATTAGCCCATATTTATTATTGGCTTTTAATTGTTAACCATCACCTTAATTTGCTGGAATTTGATTATTTCATGCCACACCCTGCCCATGGATGAGGGCCACCCTACAAAAGCACTGTAGGGGGCACCAGAAACACTCCTGTTATCTTTAATTTACTTCATACTTATGATAAAGTTGATAACTCTACTTTCTTTAAACAAAGTTGACAGGTTATTCTTTACAGTACATGCTCGAAGTTTATCTACAAGAGGCAAGAATGTTACACAAAACCACACCTGGGTGTTTCCCATTAAACACACAGTACCAGTACTACAGTGAGTGATGAGTGTCCTCCACCTGTAGACTGAACACCAGTGGTAGAGACAGTAAGTAAACATAGAAACACCACCATGTAAAAATAATGTCAATTATAAGTCCTGCATTGTAAATCTTACCTACCTCTCCTTGATATAGTTTAAATATTAAATCTATTAATAAATCTATTAAATAAATATAAATACATTATAAGTACTCATTATAGATCAATTATTATTACTGATGCCTTCATGTATATTTCATAGCATTGCACTGTTGTAGTTGGTTGAGGTGGAGTTCATTTTAATGTCTATAAACCATTAAGTATCCACATCTTTAAAAGGCCATCATTATCTATGAGCTGATGTGTTTTTGTATTTAAAATCTTGATGAGTTAAGTAGCTGCTACTACCACGTTTCCACTTTATACAACTTTATATGGCTACTTTACTATATTTCAGGGACAAAATTGTAGTTTTTACAGCTATAATTATAGGCTACTTCTCAGATTAAGATTTACATAGAAAATACAAAAATATATAATAATACAACATTGTAATATATAATAACGTAACACTGACAGGGGCCATACTCAACCGAAATTTAGGTACTTTTACTTTTGATACTTAAGTATACTTTGATGATACTTCAGTACTTTTATTTAAATAAATGCAGAACTTTTGCTTGTAAAGGACTATTTTTAGTCGATTGAAGAATCTAAATACTTACCAATGTTTTTTAAAAAGTGAGTACCATAAATGACTCCTCCGGACTATTTATTATTACATATAAAATATATATATAGTTTTTGTCTCACACACACACAAAGTAAAGACCACAATAAAGCAAAACCTTCACAAGAAAATGATTTAGAATATTTTATTGGATTTTGTAATTCTCATAATAATTAAACACAGACTACAATAACACAAGGAATAGCGTCTCACAATAAATAAGGATAGATCTTTTCTTTTGTAGCTTTTTTACATAAAACAATATGTAGGATCTGTGCACAAGCATCTATTAACAGAAGTGCATTCATTGTTTGGGGTAATGCTGTTTTTTTTTTGTTTAGCCTCGTATTTGCAGCGGCGAACATTTCTAAGCTGTCAGTTCGTAAGGATTAGCTTTACAGTGACCTTGTTCGACACCCTTTCAGATTATCCATAGCAGCAGGATTTGCCAACATATAGTCATAAGTGTCGTGAACAAACATGCTATTTGTTTTGAGGCAGACATTGTCTGTTATAATTGCACTATGCGTCCAAATAGAAAAGAATAAAGCACTTTAGCTTAGTAAATAATACATTTGCTTCCGTGAACACTGTCTTGTGATTGTCCTTTATGGAACTTCAAATACCAAAACAAATGCCGTGAAGGCACTAGAAAATGGGTGTTTAGGATACACCACCTATCAGATGTATGTGCAATACTGCAATGTTTTTTTTTATGATTATGCTACTAGTGCTGTATTAAACTCTATAGTTAAATCTCTGATATATATCTAAATAAACCTAAATATATGTGTTTTAAGGTGTTCCAAAGACATGGTGCTACACTCTTAACCTACACTACCTGGTGCTGTACACATGTCTGAGTCCGGGCAGGGGCAACTTCTGGAGGTCTGCTTTGAAGATCGATCGACATACAGTTGATGGAAATAACCGAAGAGGACATGATGGCACTTCTGTCATTAATAATCTAAGCAAAGCAACAGCATGTACAGGATATCAGAACTCTTCAAGTATGTTCCTATGAGTACATGATGGTAGAAAATACACGACTGTACATCTGGATATATAAAGTATAATAAACGTTTTTAAACACAGAAAAGACTCCTAGCCCTCATGATACACATAAAGAAATAACATTGTAGAAAAACAATAGTGGATTTTAACAAAAGGAGCCAAAGGGCTTCATCCATTCTCTACTTTTTTTAGTCATTCTGCAGTTTTATCACAGCCACTCCTTAATTTCATTAAGAGACAGAATGATTTCAACCAACATGACTTCTGTTTCAAGTGTATACAGTAATGTGTTTATCCATCGTATCTTGCGTTTTCAGCACTGTGGAATGTACAGTAGGAAATGTCAGTCAACACTTTGGCATCCTCATGATCCAAATGAGTATAAATCCACCGATTCCAGAGATTACCGTTAATCTTCTCTGCTCAAATGTCCCCTTCTTACCACTGGGGAAAAAACACCAACCCCCTCAGAGTAAATACAGTACCATAATTAACCTGATAGTGATGATGTGTAGCTGAGGTCCCTTCTGTGGTCATCACCGGGTACAGGACCCCCCCTTGATGACTGTGACTGTGCAGAGTCTATGCAGAGGTGTTGTATTCCTGAGTGTTGTACTGTTTGCATGATTCTTTTGGGATATTGGCACCTTTGCAGTAAACTGAGCCGGAAAAATCACTCGCCGGATTTGGGCGGCATCCAAACCACTCTTCTCTTAGCCTGATAGAAATCTGTTGGGATAGAGAACAGGAAGTTCAGCTCATGCAAATCCACATGAAATTACAACTGTACTCATTCACACTGAGAATATCTACATCTGTACCTGTAATGTTGGTCTGTTTCCTCTTCAGCCCCGTATTCTCTCTCTTCTCCGGTGTTTTCTCCAGGTTCTCCAAATCGTGTTCACATCTCTCTGGCGAACATGGGATGTTCTCCTTCTCGCTCTGTGGTGACCCCACCCTTCCTCCCTTGGGCTTAACTGCTGCTTCTGCCGCCCCCTGACCTCCTGCCTGTCCCAGATCATGCATGCAGGATCTGTAGAGCAGTGGCACCTTGGCTCCTGGGACGCCTTCCCACTGGAAGTCGCCGCTCTCCAGAGGCTTGTCCGAGATGAAGTCGAAGCTCCAGCGCCGCGAAGCCTCCTCCAGGTCTTTCTGCAGCGCGGCCTGGTACTCCGCATGGAGCTGCTCTCGGTCGACGGGGCCGAACAGGTTTCGTCGAGCGGGGCCTCTTCGCAGGGCCCTCAGGATCCGCTTGTGAGTAGCCATAATTCTACACTGCAGGACACAGAGAACAGGGCAACCGGTTAGTTGAGAGCTCCTGCTGGACATCACCAGTGATCAGCTGAGGCAGTGATGGAGATCATCAGCCTTCACTATAGATTAAAACAATTCATCAACTGGATAAAAGGAATAAAAAACTGCATCTCGACACCAATCTGATTCTAAAATTAAAGGAAAATGAATTCCCCTAAATGCTAAAACATCTTAAATTCAACAACATAAAACAAAGTAATTTTACTGCCTTTAAGTTTTAAAAGTAGAAATCAGGCTTACCATGGCTCTAGTCAGTCTAAGTTTCCTCAATGACAACTACAGAATCTCAGACTGGTGTTATTGTGCAGCTCTTTATACCCAGAGTGACTCGCTGAGCCCTCCTCTGTGAATCACTGGTACATGCCTGGACATAATCTCAGACAGACATGTGAGGGCAAGTTCCCAGCAGAGGTTCAGTCACTGCAGGCAGTCACCACTAGGTGGCGGCGTGAGACCATCTACAGACAGCTTGATAAAACAACTTCCAAAGGAACTGATCGGGTATATTGAAGATCATAGGAATTGTTATGAGTCTTATAAATAAATCAGTGCTTTCCACATCCATATATATATATATTTGACAGCACTTGTGTGCACACAGTTCCAGGCATAAAGGTTAAATGGTCGCGGTGCTTCACTGTACGAGCTACAGGAAGGAATCATCGCGTCTCAGGAGACTAATAAGTCTTTATATTCATCCGGGAAGGGCTTGGCAAGGTTCACATTTGAAGGGACAATCAGGAGAAACCTGTCCCAGCCCACCCTAACTATCCTGCTAAAAGCACATTAGGAGAGGGGAGGTCATGGTAATTACATTAATATGTGGAGACACTAATGAAGTTTACTTTCACTGATTTAATTGATTATACCTTTTTCCAGAAACTATTCCGGTTTTATGTGGACGATGGGTTGACGAAGGGTACAGAGGAACAAAATCTGCCAAAACAGATTCAAAAGATGTATGATCCACCAGTCAGACATAACGAATGCGGTTTGACTTGAACAGACGGCTCATTTAAAGACAGTCTGACATTTAAACAAAGCTTTATAGCCAATGTGATGTTTAATTGTTGTATAAAAATATAGATAAAAGTGTGAAATGTGTGTAAAACATGTTCCTGTTGCATCATCTGACTTGGCTCTGTGGCCACACCACAGAGCCAAGCAGAATGAGGTAATGTGATGGGGCATTTTTCCAAGAGCTTCTGTTTATTCATACAACTTCCTGATTCACCGAAGCACAACTATGTTTCCCAGAGCTTTCCTATAAACCGCAACTTATATAACTGAAAGTGTTCAGCTTTTCACCTTGTAAGTGACATTAACTTTGAGCGTTCTTGTTTACAAAAACATATTCAATACTACATTTGTATTAAAGGAGCATTTATGGGAGTAAAAAATTTGAGATTTCATGAAAGAAAAAAAAAGGACTGTACCACTGAGCGGGGCCCTTGAGGGACTTCCAGAAAACTAATAATACATCTTTAATGCATCAAATCTGCTACTTCACTAGTTATAAACTGTCCCAGAGTGGACAATGATGGGCACTCTGTTTTAATCATGGGTTTTCACTGAACACTGAGCCTTCCCCGCCCACTGTTACATAACTGTGGACCTGCACCTCCTCAGGTCCAGGTTCAGGTTCAGGTTCAGGTGGTGGGGTACCTTCATTGGGAGAAATCTGATCAAACTAGTTCCAAAAAAAATCTAATGACTCCTCATCTAAGTTGGTTAGAAAAATGTGGGGGAGCACTGCTGTGAGACAACATGGTCCCCCCCCTGTCTCCCCCTCCACACTCCTTCCTTCCACGGGATTGGCCCTCAGAGAGGCAGAGGGGCGGTGCAGGGAGGAGTGATTCAAGGCTGTGGCGGGAGAGGAGTCGAGCATGTGCGGCGGAGGCACCCTGCAGAGACCCAGCCCACTTTACTACGGCTCCACGTGAAGCTGGAGCTCGTGTCATACAGTCACACTGGGCTGTCACTGAAGCCTGGACCTCCCTCCCTCACACACACACACACTCACACACACACACACACACACTCACACACACACACACACTCACACACACACACACACACACACACTCACACACACACACACTCACACACACACACACACACACACATACTCATACACAATAATATGAGTATAAGTGTGACAGGACGCCTGAATGTAGAGTTTTTGAATATTTTTGGTCAACTTTTAAGAGAGAAACTTAAACCTAGAAAGCTGAAATAAACCCATATAAAGGCAGTGGAAGTTATTAGTCACGTAAACGCACCATTAAAAGAGTGTAAGTATAAAAATATTCAATGTATAGACATGAAGGTATATTATATTGTGTATATTACAGGTTATATTGACATTTAACCTCGATATCTGTTTCTAGAGTTACTTACACACTTATAAAAAACAACATTTACATGATAAAATGCTAAAAAACACCATTTGAAGTACTAGTCCAGGGTGGTTTTACTCACATTATCATCCAGCTGCAGTCCTCTCCAGTGAAAAAGATCCTTCTTATTTCAAACGTGTTGAATGAATCCGATGTTTATCTGCCTCCTTGTTGTTGTTGTTTTTTATAATTTACCCAACAGCTCCGATGTGAAAATATGGCTGATGTTACAGAACCCAGCCCCTCGGATGAATCAAACACAACTCTGATAGTAACTCACTGCTCCTCATCTGGGTTAAACCTTCACTAACTGCGGTGGGCGGGGATCCAGCAGCTCTCGTGCCGAGGCGGGGTCAGCTCGGTCACACGTGGATTTCGCCCGGTAAACACATGAGCACACTTGAAGTTTTGGCTCCTGTAGTTAGTCGAGAGGAGATTCAGGCTCGGGGCTCGACCCAGCGCTGCCTCTCACTGCGCATGACAGAGGGGCAAACGTGCAAGTATCCCGGATGTACTTTGGACACGAGGTGGGTGTCTGCAGTTGGGTCGTGTTGTTTACCTCCTCCTGGGTAGTTTCAGTGTCTGCAGCAGCTTCATTTAAAGCACAAATACCACAGTGTGCATGTACATAAACAATGGTGGGAATATGTCGTAATAATATAATATTAATAATGTATTCTGTGGTACTTATATTAATATTTTATCTTACTTTGTCATTTTAAGGGAAATGTACTTTTTGCTCCACTAAATTTTTCTGCACTATAATGGAAGTGACTGGTTACTTTAAAAGAAAAAAAAATGTATATACAAAGCATGATTATCTTATAAAATATGTTGCATTTTTACAGACCTACATTGAATGTAATCAAGTACATTTACTGAAGTACACTTTTGGGGTACGTATACTTTAATTTGGTATTTCCATTGCGTGCAGTGTTGTTGAAGGCATCTTCCATTAAACTTAAATCAAAAGTAAGGTCTCCTTTTTAAGTACTGGTGCTGGTTTGACAGCAAATATGAAGTTGACAAAAACAAGAAGCCTTTAACTATGTTTATGGAGTAACATGACATGACACATAATGCCATTTTAATTGAGCTATATCTGATGTGGTATCATGTATATTTAGGCGTGTTGATGTAGCAATCTATTTTTTCTTATTTAGTTTGCACTGATGTAGTCTGGGTTTTAAGATTTGATTACATCTTTTAACATCTTGGTACCATGTTGGAAATCACTACAACATCTTATCCCACGGACTGATGTTTCTGTAGATCCATGAATGAATCAGTAAAAGTACAATATTACTCAGAACTGTGCTTGTGTGGGCAGGGGTTGTTTACAGGTCAGCCCAGAGACAACTCCTCACACCTCCCAATCACATCACGCATCAACAAGAGCCCCAACTGTATGACGCAGCGTATAAAAAGGCCCAACTGATCTCACAGTGAGTCCTTTGTGGAGGAAACTGACGCGACAGAAACACCCTCAGACTGTTTACAAATCTACAGTGCGGCTACAGTCATATGCACTGAAGTTAATGAAGTTGTAACTAAACGGAAAGGTACAATGAGTGCACACTGTTACTGTGCAGCAGCTGTGTGACTACATTTGTACAGCTGAGTGGACACTTTATTATCAGCTCTCAGGCAGCTGCACAGTCCAGAGCCCGTCAAATTATCTCATTCATTATGTGCTTCATCATATTCAGGTCTTTGTTCTGCACTGTGAAAGGTTTGATGCAATAGAAGGCGCCAAATGAAGCGCGTAGAGACCATGCATGGCAACTTAGTTAACCATTTAATGAGTGACACAAAGTCGTCCTGGAGTTCTGCTCTTTGTAACTTTATCACCTGCCACTATGGTTACATAACACATCCTTAATGCTTGTGTTAGGGAGTAAGGTTGTTATTTTAAAAAAATTGTATTTGATTTTAATGGTCCCATAAGCAGCTGGACTATTCTCATCAGATGGATTTTGGTATAGTTTGAGGTTTGCCAACGCAGAGGGGTCTGGCAGTTGAGCCTGACTCAATTTTGCTGCAACAAAACATGACGTCATCTGGCAAGTTGCCCGTTACCCAATGAAATACATGCAAGAGCTGCTGGACTACTTTATAAGGCTGTATTTCTTTTTTCCCCTTATATATATATATATTATTTTTTTTTAAGTTATATTTTTGGGGGGCTTTTATTGCCTTTAATTGATAATGACAGCTGCAAAGCAAAGGGAAGGAGAGAGTGAGAGGATGACACACAGTGAAGGGCTACAGGTCAGAGGCGAACCCAGCAAGGACTCCAGCTCCACCAGGCGAGCCACCACAGCACCCTATACGGCTGTATTTCTACTGTTCACCTCTAAATCTTCATATAATTAATAATAATAATTGCTACTGTGATTATCTCCTGGAGTAGTAAAGATCTTGTGTCAGAATATCATATTGCTGTGTAGTGTTTTCTCACAAGCCTTCAAATTCACACATGTGACTCAACCTGGACTTCCTAGATCAGATTTCATGTGACCGATACCTGAAGAAACACACACCTCTACACCAACAACAGTGTTGTTTTCACACAGCGCTGAAGGCCTGCTTAAGTCTTGTTGACTTTGACAATCCCTGCTACTTCAGGAAGTCAGTGCTCCCGGACCCACTCAGGAAATAGTCCGACATATAACCCCACTTTGGTTACTGTGCGGATTACACAAACAAGATATAACATGTGAATAAATGAATGTTAGAGGAGCTTTTAGGTTGGTACTGTTGTTGTTAGACAGGCTGACTGTTTCTCTCTGTTTGGCTGCTGGCTGTAGCTTCATATTGGGGTACAAGACTGATATCAATCGTCTCAGCTAACTCTCAGCAAAATGGCACAAAATATTTAAACTTCTGTTTAGTCCACACAAGATCTATTTCTCAGAGTCCATGTTGAGTTCATCAAATGTTGTGGGTTTGACCAATTGACCTTTTTTACAGCAGCCATTTTAACATAAAAATGATTAAGGTTCAGTCCCATTCAGAGCTGCCGGTCGGGGGGCTCAAAGAAAGGCTCTGCTACACTAAATGGAACAGAGCCTTAATTACTGCCATTAATAACGCCTGTGATTACCCTACTATTTCACATCAAAATGGCCGCTGTGAAAAAGGTCTACTGCCCAACTCATTCCCTTTACGAAGATTTGAACTGAGAAAAGCAGCTATGATCTTATAATTCAGACAGATAGATAGATAGATAGATAGATAGATAGATAGATAGATTAAATTAATTAATTAATTAAATTATTTTTTTGATTACAAATTAAAATTAGCTCCAACCAGCCCCTCTGTGTCTCTCACGCAGTCAGTCATTAAGACCATGTGTATGTTACATAACAGTGGGTGGAAATATCTCTGGCTGTCTGAGTGGATTCTCGCGGGTTCCTCGCGTGTGCGGGCCGTTTCCGTGGATACCGTGAGTCATCGCTCCGGTGACGTCACGGGGCTTGAATAACTCGTGGGAAAAAAGCGCGCGCAGATTTGAGTGTGCCGGTTCACGTGGACTGTGTGCGTGAACGGGGAGCTCGTTGAGGGTGTGACCGAGGTCGGGACTGAATCACACTGTCTCACTCTCACCCACTGAAAGCAGCCCGGACTCACCACCGTCCTTTAGGCCGTACACCGCACACACAGCGCGGCTTTATCTGCGGCACAAGGACGTCGTTATTTGGAGGTCTTATCACTTGTGTGTGCTGTTGAAATGTTTAAACTCTCAGTGTGATTACATAACGACTTCACACCGCAGACACCATGTTCACAGTGAAGGAGGGAAAGCTGCGAAAGCCCTGGCAGGCGGCAGACAGACAGATCAGACAGCACAGACAGGGGGCAGACCCAGAGCAGACACGGGGGCAAGACACGGCAGAAGACAGAGCAGGGCGGGGCAGACAGGGCACCACAGACAGACAGGGGCACAGACAACAGCAACGGGGGCGACAGACAGCACAGAAAACAGTACAGCCGCGACCAGAAGACAAGGGGGGCGCCACGACAGACCCACGACAAGTACAGACAGGACAGGGCAACATACACACAACCTCATCGATCCACTGACTTCCTCGGGACTGTTTCAGTGTCTTAAATTAGTCAAAATCTATATATGGACTTAAGTAACTCTTAATATTATGTTTTATGTTATGGAGACATCTACAATCTATCTGAATGTATTTTGTCTAAAATGTCTCCATCTGCTACTCTATTGTAGCAAACCTTTTAACATCCTTTAACTCTTTAAGCAACATTTTAAGGCATCTCTATAATTAACTTAAAAGACATCATTTCCTGTTTGGTGGTTCTTTCCAAACTTTTAACTATACCTTTTCTTGCCTACAGTATTATAAACTGAATTAAAGATCTAGATTTTAACTCAGTCTCAAATAATATTTATCTTTAATTCAGCTTTCATAATATGAAATGTGAATTTAAATGAAAGATGCTTTAATATTTAAATTTCTATTAATATATAATAAGCACATTAAGACTAAGATATTGAGATTTGGAGCTATGACTGGTTTAAAGCTGTAAAAGGAGAAACAAAATATCCTACCATCTACTTTTGTGTCGTTTGTTTTAGTAAACATTAATCACCAGTGAATATTATAAATGTTTAAATATAGTATACAAAATCTCAACAGCACCACCAGTTGACATAAGTGTGGATAGCTTACATGTAAAAAGAACATCAAATAAAGAGTTAAATGACAAGAATAGAAACTGGCCATTAATAAGAAAAACAGTACAAACGGCAGCCTACATTAACCAGCAAGAGTAATCAATTAAAGCCATTTATTGTATTAATCTTATGTGCAAGTGTGAGCTCAATAATCACACAGTGACCTGGACCATCTCCACTAACGCTGTAAGAGTGCCCTCTTGTGGTAAACACACTGGGTAGAAGACATTACAGTATATCAGGTTGACCTCAGGAAGAAATAAACAAACAAAGCAGTTTTGTTTTTTTTGTTTTTTATCAACCGGTATTTTTAATTGAGACAATTTCACATAGTATCAAACAAAAGAAAAGAAAAATAATGGAAAACTTCATAGACAAAATTTTGACTTGTGTTCATTACACCTTTTAAATCAATGCCATAGATTTGCATTTTGAATGAGGGGGTGCATTTATTACAAACAACCAACCATTAACAGATGGAAACCTTCAGTATGAAGTAAGAAAGTAGCACGTTGAAAACAGGTTGGCTTTACAGACAATCAAAAAGGAGGGACTTTCTTACAAATCATCCCAACCCTTCCTTAAAAAAAAAGAAAAAAAGAAAACTGCTGGCTTTTACACAATGAAAATAAATGAGGAACTACTCACACTAAGTCAAACTACACAGTACATTCATTGACAAAAACCGAAGCTCTTAAGAGATTAACTGGTAAACTGGAATGCTGGGTGGCACGACTGTTTCAGGACCGACAAGATGTATGTGACTGACGTGAGGCATCACACCTGTACACACCCACTCAATGTTTTTGAAAATTACATAACAAAAGGGGGGGGGAGACACTAAAATGCATGATTGTTTAAAAAACCCAACACAAAAATGACCATGTCGGCCATGTTGAAGTCTATCATATGAAACGGCAACGATTGTACAACCGTTCCGTCTTCAGCTCCCTTTACACCTGACAGACATTCCTCTATTTCCTGTCAGTAGACCTGGAGCGGCTGTGGGGACAAAAGAAAACAAATTGTTGAAAGAATTACACACCGAACTGCCGCGGCAACATTCTCCGCAGCACCACAAACAACGCCTAGGGCTGCACACTGTATATGCTGCTTAGGCATGTATGAGTGTCGTTCTGTCCTCCAGAGAAAACCCAACGGTGGCTAATTATATTACGAAGCTTCACATTAAAACCGTCAAATATCTGAAATGATGTTAAGATAACTCAAGAGATCAATACCTCCTTGATCGAGAAAAGGACCTTGAAGGTTTGTGGTTCCTGTCCCTGGAGAGGGACCTCTCCCTCCTCCTGTCTCTGGAGAAAGACCTGCAACAACCAAACCAAACCATTTAGTAAAGAGTTATGAAACGACAAGTGTTACCAGCAGCAGCCAATCCTCAATTCTTTCAGTTGCATTTTAAGTTTTGTCTAACTGTTAATGTCTGCACTTTGCTGACAGCTGCGTATGGACTGTGTGTTCGTATTGAAACTATTGAGTGGCGACTATTTACAGAAATTAGTGCAGCAGTTTTATGCACCTCAAATCACTTCAGCTCAGAGACATCACAGTGCTGAAGTAAAATCAATATTTTACAGCTGGTGACTGATAACTACAGTGTTTCTGGCTTCAGAGCCAACAGGTGATTATAAATCTTCAATGAATCTTTAAGTTTTAATCATTTAGAACATAAGTTACTTCTCCAGTCAGGGTTTTGATAATGGATAAAATGCTACTGAAGCCAGAACTTCACAATATGATGTATGAGATTATTCAATTACCTGCCAGATATATTCTTAACAGTCCAGTATGTAGGACTTCGTGACACGTAGCAGAGTAGCTGCAGACCACAACTCCCTAATCCTTCCCAGCGTGAAGGAGAAACTACAGTGGCCACAAAATGCACAAAACCTAAGCGGCACCTAGAGCTAGTGTTTGGTTTGTCCCTCTTGGGCTACTGTAGAAACATGATTTCTAAATTCAGGGGATTACACACTAATGAAAACAACCCTATAATTATATTTCAACTTGAGAATACAGTAGGATATCCTACATGTACAGATAATACAAACAGAAAACTTCCACGTTCATATAAGATTCGAGACATTTGAAAGCCCACACACCTGCTTCGACTGCGGCTAAAGCTCCTCCTGCGTGGGGATCTGTGCAAGGAAAATACAAAAGTGTTAAGAACAAACACAGATGCACCGATCCGCCGTAGAGCTCCACACTACTCTAATCCTTTTCTTACATGGGCCTCCCTCAACACAGCCCTCTCTCTATCCCAGTAACTCAGAATGGAAATAAAAGATTTGAATGTTTTTTCGAGGAACAAAATTATCCAGATCAGAAAATATAACTCACTGGCAATGGACCTAGTGCATAAAGATGGCAGGTGTTTAGGAATTGTCTCTCACCTATCCCACAGTGCCATGTGCATCTTTAAGTAAAGTCACCAGTGTGAATTATATTCCAGTAATTTAAAGTGGAAGAGTAGGATGAGTCATAGGATTAAGAATTGTACTTGGTGTCTGAGCCTAAAAGCGTATTACAAAATTAAAGTGAGCTAAGTAGCAACATTTGCCCCCATCAGAAATTCAACGCCGCACTGTGGACTGGCCATAGTGTGGGAATAAAGACTCACACAGAGGCCACCATCTGTATGAAACTGGTCCACTACACTTAGGGAGCACATAAGGAACTGGAAGCTAGTAACAAAACAGTATACTGGTCACTGGGAGTAAGTCTCGTGAAGTAACCAGGCTAAGATCTAAAAACCAACCATACAGCACAAAAAAACTTTTGATATTTATTGGGGGGTTGAGAAGAGTTTTGATTTGTGTGACTTCATAATTCTGCTCAGAGCCCCAAGACATACCAGATGAGTGTCTATAATGGAAATCTCTGGAAACGTGAAGTTCCAGACTGATTCAAATATTTTAAAAAAGAACACCCTTTTCATACCAGCTGACTCTTCACTTTCAAAACTGTAATCAGCAGTGTACTGAATGAAGCAGGAAAACTTACTAGTATTTTTGGTTTTCAACAAGCTAGATATGACGAAAGGGAGGCAGACTGTCGGCCGGGTAGGTAGAATTGGCTGAATAGGACTGGCCAGTTGCTGCAAGGTGATTAGGTGGCAGGCAGATGGGGGCTGGCTGTGGCTTTTTTCCTGCTTTAATTGGTTAGCCGAAGGCTGCTGTTGGTAGGTTGTAGACATTTGGGAACGTAATACGCTGATTGGTCGGGAATGTGAGGTGGGCCGCTGCCGTTTGGGTTAAGGTTGAAGGAGGAGGAGGTTGAGAACGGCATGCTGAGGAACCAATGGGTTGGTGCAACCTGACGACTGGCCATGCCTGGGTCATGTGACAGCACCAGCCAAGCTGATTGGGGCACGATGGTCAGCAGTCACATGATGCTGAAAGAGGACTAGTTGATTGACTCAGAGGGTGGTGAGAAGAGGCATGGTGGTGGCTCTGCAACGGGTTTCATTCTTATTAATATAGATGAAAAATAAAAAGCATCCTCAAACAAAAAGAAAAAAATGCATCACATTTGGCACTTTCATCCCCCCAAAATTTTAAACAGATTATACCTTTTTTGACATTTTTTTTTTTTTTTAAGAGTGCACAGAAAAGGTACACTTTGAAAGAAGCATTAGTGCCTCGCAGGCCAGATTTCAAAAGATGCATTTTGCAATTAAACGGTTTCACTACATGACCTAAAATGTCCTATTCCCATGACATACTGTCATATTATTTGGTAATGAATGTTTATCTGTTCGGCTCCCTACATAAAATGACCAATAATATCAATGAAGATGAAACTGCAAGCCTTAGACATTGCAACAATCACAAATGTATACTCAGCATAGATAACAGACTAGAAATGCCTAGACTGGAGAAACATAAGCAATTACCAGGAAATATACTGTGGGTAAGAAGGTGGAATCAGTAAGTCACAGAGCAGGATTTAAGTACAAGATAGAGCATATGCAGTCCCTGCTGGTCACTGTCAAACAACAACATGGGTCACCTTCGTCTGGGTGGCGGGCTACGACGCCTGTAGTCATCTCGGTCTCGAGGACGCCTGCCCCACGAAGGGGGAGCGCCACGGGTGCGGCTGCGCTTCTCACCGTTGGACAGCTCTACTCGCACCCGGCAACCACACAATGTCCTAGAAAACAACCAGACATTATTAACCATTATAGCTGTAGCAAACGTAGTTTTTCTACAGTTTTGGTCATTATTAGTTCAGATTGCTGCCTACCTTCCATCGAGCTCACGCACTGCATCAGTAGCATCTCTGGGGTCTTCAAATTCAACAAAGGCGAAGCCTGGAGGGTTCCTGGCCACCCAAACACTGCGGAGAGGACCATAGTAGCCAAACGACCTTTCTAACTCTGTCTTGTTTCCATTGTTGCCCAAATTTCCAACATAGACTTTACAGTCAAGTGGACAGTCACGATGCATGACTGAATCTGAAAAATAATGAACAAAGAAAGGAAATTGGTTATTAATACAGCAGAGTCGAAAGGGAAACGCATGAACCAGTAGATTAGGTTAAATTAGAAGAGTCTGTGGTGTGAAAATGAACATTAATGCTCCCCATTGTCGCAATATGCGCTGCACAACTTGGCTTTACCCAGAACAACCTCCATAAGAAGGTGTGTGCCATTATATGTGCAAAGTTAATGTTAACACAGTGCATGAAGAGCATGCTGTAGTCACATCGACAGTTAGTTAAAGACAATATATGGGAAAGGTGAAACGAGCATGGCCTAATGGCTGTCGGAGTCGACGCCAGACCTTGTGCTAACTCTAGCTTCACAAACAAATACTACGGTCTGTAAGCCAATGCTAGAGAGCTAAGAAAGACTGTAAAAACAAACCACACGATTAACTGAACGGCTCACCCAACACTTGCCTGTATTCCGCATTAAAATACGTCGTTTTACATCAACACAAGATTACGATTCGACGCTTGGAAGCTAATGAAAGCTAAAGGCTATTTAACCGTAGCTAAAATGGCTGTCGCCTTCCCGCGGCCTGCTGGTGAGCAGCAGCTCTCGACCAGCCACCACAGCAACAAACAATACATCTAACTCCTGTGGCGATACGATCGATCGACTCAAACGTGACATCTGTAGAAAAAAAGTAACCGTGAATAATTTAATTCAGACTGTACCTTGTTTCGTTGCCAGTTCCAGCTCAAAGTGTTCGCGCTCCTCCGGGTGGTTTGTTCCTCTCTCGGTCGGCGATGGAAAATGGCGTGACGGAAAACACGTTTGTGAGTGTGGTGACCAGGATGAGGGCGGGGTTACTTAGTTACCGGTGGGGGGTTCTCACTTTAACTAGTGGATTCAATGGTATTTTAACACATAATTCGTGTTACAAAGACTCCATAATATTCGATTCAGTAAGTTTAATCTGTAAAATATTTATGGATCGTATTAAGAGCTTGAAACGGATGAAAAAGGTCTTAAACCGGTAACGCACACTTTAACTGCAGTACCACCTTTGGCCACAATGTGGGAGTCAGTTTGGTGATGGCGCTGTTTCGATATTTCTTGGCCAGGGATCCACAGTAGGTTTTTCTTTCTTTCCTTCAATGAACCTTTATTGAATAAAATGATGTACAATCTACAATCCGTACAACAACAGAAAACGACACAGCGTATAAAGAAACAGTAAGAATAAACGAATAATATAAATACAATAAATACATGATAAAATAATAACAGGAAAAATCAAGTAAAACAAAACTGGAAAAGCAATACAGTAAATCTACAGCTTTCATGTTAAGTTGACAATGTGATTGTCTTAATTTACAGCATGATCCAATTCTTCATGGAAAACAGAAAATAATGGGCTCTTTGTTGTTGACATTGCATCTATATTTCATAAAACTCAGCTATGGTACTTAAAATACTGATTATGCTTGTTTTTCAATTATCTGTCACTTACAAAACCAGGCTGTCATTCACAGAGACAAAAGTTGCACCTAGCTCAGTCTCATGAAAGTTTTCAGATATGTAGGCTAAACTCAGCAAACTCAAGGTTTATAGTTAAACATAACTTCAATATTACTTTTACACCTCACTGTCTGGTTTTGGTTAAGATCAATCACAGCAGTCGTAGTTCTGGTGAGTTACATCATTCTGAGAGAGAAATTAAAGGCTGGATTTGTGGAAATTAGGCAATACACATATGATATACTTGCACTTACTATTACTGGGCTTTATGCAGGTCTGTGCAGCTATGGTGAATAAAGTTATGTAATCCAGCATCTAAATCCTGGCTTTGCATAAAACCATTGTATTTGCTTGTGATGTAAAATGCACCAATACAGGCACACTAATACAGTGTTTGCCAATACAGATTTGAGCCTATTGAACATTCTGCCTCACAGAGTACATAGGGTGCCTCTGTCGATACTATCAAAGTATGTCAAGCTATTGAACACATTCACTACGGAATTAAAAACTTTTATAAACCTACATTTTTGCTAAAGGGTTGCTGGACAATTACTCCTTTCAGACCAGGATCATAACAACAATCATAACTTTCCCTGAAAATAGAGATGAAACATGAAGTTTAGGATGAAGGTAGTGATGATTGAGCTGGTTACCTCTTTGGTTTTGATGCAAATTCAAGACTGTTATTTACCTTTCTGTTCCTAACTTTGAGTGTGCAAGGTTGTGTTCATCAGTCGAAGTTGCACCAGGATGTTTTGTGTGACCTCTATTCATAAATTACAGCCTGAATGTCCCTTGCTGGTTCATGTTGGACAGTCTAACTAACTCTAAGTTATGTTAGCTTTTGTCAGGTTGCTGCACCATGCAACATTCCAGCACATTTTTTACTCAGGCACATTAGACACAAATGATGTTGCTCACTGAACAGTCACCTGCATTGCTTTCAGTTTTGTTTGAGGTACTTTTTAGCCATTTTCTATGCCCGCCTATCCTGTTGTGAGGCTCTGGAGCTTTCCACAGCATGCATTACACTCTTTTCAAATGGTTGCGTGCCATGATCTCCCTTCCTTCTGCAGAGAGGCTTTTGAGGCTTAATGAGAAGTAGAGGAGTGTAGTCCCACTGGGCCGCAATCATGTGAATGTCACGGAAACAAGGCTAACCTATTGATTAATTCATATGATGTTATAACATTATACCATAACTAACTGCAACTGCAAGTGTTGGTTTAGAGCTGACTGGCACAGAACAAATATAGTGAGAATTGGCAGTGTCAGATAGGGTTGTGTCTTACATTTATTCATATTTGAATATAGTGCACATGCAGAAGAAAAATCTACTTCCACTGCCACACTGTGTTGTGACAGTGGAAGTAGACTTTTAAGAGAGTGTGTTTATTTCGCAGTCTCAAGCCTGAGGGAGCATGCGTGCTGAATGAGGATTCATATGAGCTTAATGGTGCATTTATTGTAACTGGGAACAGACAGTTTGAACTCCTTACCCCTGTTCCAGTCCTTACACACTAGTGTAACACTGTTTTTGAGCGTCCAACCAGGTAGAATGGTAAAATGAATTTAATAATTAAATGAGTGAAAAATAATTTAAAATAAAGTGATGTGATGGAAACTGTTTGGCCTTCTCTTTGTTGTGATCACAAATTTAAAACTAAGTATTTTTCCAAACGGTACACGTCTTTCAAAGTGTAATGGCAGTACACTGTTCTGCATATTATGCAAATGAGTCTATATATTGTA